GTCAATCGGCAGCAGCTGGCGCAAACCCGCCGTTGGTCGCACCATTGTAGCGCAAAATACAACGGAGCTCGTGGGTTCGATCCAGACCCTGGACGCCTGCTGTATATCTGGGGCTTGCGTGCATCTTTTTACCCCGTGGTCACGTGCATTTTTCTCCGGGCCCACTGGGTTTTCCCCCTCTACATTACAGAAACACGCGTTTAGAGCATTTGGCTGCGATATACAATTTCGTCAAGCTATCATTTGTGGCCAGGTCGCTTCTGAAAAAGAGCTGTATAGCTCAGTGGGCCTCGCCTGGTCAAATACAAAGTTTGCAGTTGGTTTAAAAAGTTTAAAATAATTGTTGCTTGAACCCGACCCAATTTCATCCGTGCCTCCATTCATGCACAAATGGGATGGCACTCCCGTCAGACTCACAGCCAATGAACGGGTATGGATACCTCGAAGTTTTGTATCACGCAGAGCAACATCACTGGTCGGGAGACACTTGACGACAATCACCGCTGGACGCAGCCCAGCGGTAGCGGTTTCGCCGCTTATTGTGGAAGTTCGCAGTTTGAATCGAGCGACCTCCCCGATCATTACCCCCGCGTGTGTATTTAACCGTTTTACTACACGCCGTCTGCTTCGCACTGGATGTTAAAGATCCCGTGACGTCATTCGCGAGAGCAGGCCAGCGTACCAACGTCAGGGGACAAATACGCAAAGTTGGAAAATTATCTGTAAATTTACTCAAGTAGGATTATGCACCAATAGCAGGGATCATTGCCCCCCCACCCCCCGCCCCCACTGACCAGACTAACGCACGCCCCGAACGACAGATGACTGCGCGCGTAGCCTACTTCTGCATTAGGAGAATCCTGGTCTCGAGGTCTCGCCTGGTTAAACAAAACAAACGTAACAGTTCTCATTTGCTAGACAACTACACGGGCAATGGCGTGCAAAGTTGCCATAGTTTCTCATAGCGAAAAACACAATGCCGGCGGTGATTGCCGGTGGGAGAAAAGTGCCCGAAAATAGCACACCCCACCCCCGTCTGGTCACGGCCTTCGCGCGCCGTCACCTGGAAATCGGCGGAACCCCGCCGTGCACGGGCAGCAACCACGGGGGTTGCCACGCAAGCGCTCGGGCACGGGATGCCAGAAAAAAAAATCACGTTGGCGGCGTGCGACGTGGATTGGCACGGCAAGCAGCGAGCGAGCGGTTCTCACGTGGAGAGGGACCACGACCACCACTTGGCCACCTGCGACCGTTTGAAATCTTTGTTGTGAAATCCGCAGTAAGCATGGCGGCTCGACCGCCCCCCCACCCGCCCCTCCTGGGGGAGAGTTTCTAGACTGACCGTGGGGGAGGGGGGGGGTGGAATCGCGATGTAGACAAAGTGCACCCATTTTGATTCTTAAATGAAAAGTGCTTTCCAAACAAGGATAAATTAGAGGCAAGCCTATGAGCTGCTCACAAGTTGGTTTAAAGGCAAGACAGACGATAAGGGGAGGGGAGGGGTGGTGGCGCATGGGTTTACGCACTACACTATGAACCTGATGAGTTGAAGGAGGAATCTCATCATTGATTACCTCCAGTTTGGCAGTTTCATTCCCACAACCGCATAAGACCCACCACCTCCCCATATAAGTCCCTCCAATACAAATAGTATTTAATTTTTTAATATTCCAATTAGCCACATGGCCTATGGGGAGTGTGCCATTTTAGCAGCATTGGCTCAAATGAAGCGAACTCTGCAGTGGTTTCCATAGTCGGTGACTCATCAGCAGGGCCAGGCAAGCTTGAACCGTTGGTCCAAAAAAAGAAATACAACTCTGGAGCGGTTTCGACACATCAGCATCATCAAGAACCGAACGAAGCTCCCGGCACGTAGAACGAAACGTCGGGCATCGCGAACACGCGGTACGACCCGAAGGAGTACACACCGAGGGCTACGTGGCACAACGGCGGAAAACCGACGCAGCCGTAACAAACCAGCAATTGCCGTTCAATTCCTCAGCCCTCTGGTTTGGAGCAACGACAAAGTTCCACGGGCAGCAGCTGGCAAAGGGGCTCAAAAAACAGCCCTAGACTTGGGGTGGGGGGGGAAGCGATGCAAAAACAAAGCGGCTCTTTATCAGCTGGTGATGGAGGGCACTAATGCGGGAGGATCCTCCAGCGACATTGACCACGGCCGCCTCGCGTTTAAGCCACGAAAATAAAATTAACGCTCCGCCAAGGTTATTCCAGGACGAACTAAAGAAAAGGCAAAACTAAAGAACGCCAAAACAACGAGACCGCTCACGTTTTGGTGACGATAGTTTTTTTATACACACACCGCATGCCAGTTCATTTATAGGAATTAACTTTAGCGAGCCGAATGGAAACAAACTATACTGAGAGATGTGAAAATAAATTCTAAATTCAAGTGAACACACTGCGCAACTATGTGCAAAAGAAGAAATGGAAATGTTGTATCGCTCCATCTCCGCAGTGGAAGTCCCCTGGAAAGTTCTTCCCCCTTCGGCTGTTATTCCATCACTCGTCTCCTCCAAGCCATCATCCCCAGAGCGTTGTGGCCTGCCCAAAACCACCTTACCATTTTCAACAAAACGCAAACACTGCCCGAGTAAAGTAGCTCCAACCCGGAGGCAGTGTTCACCAGAGGCACGCCCCCCAAAAAAAAGTGTCGCAACACATGACAAGACTGAGAAAACCCAAAAGTGAGAGCCAATTATTACTATTAAATTTGTACATAAACAAATCTGTTCTGACCAGACCACTTGTAGTCACTTTTGGCCATGACGCCGCGGTGCAAAATTCCATAAAATTCACAAAATGTTCCCTCTCAATACAAGCCGCTCACATGAGCCAGGCGATGATGCATCCAATTATACACGAAAAACAGAACTCGCCGTCCTTCGAGGCAGCTTAGATGCAGGCAGAATCCAAAAACCAAAAGAGCTCTTTATCTTGCACGTACAAACCCTCGGCCGCCGCCTACGCGTCCCCGGGAAATCCAACAAGCAAAATGCCGCACTGCCCAACTTGTCACCGGCACTTGTAAACGAGACTACATCCCCCCCCCCCGCCCCACACTCGGTTCACTCCACCGGCTTCCCAGTCCAAAACCTAGAGCAAACGTCAAGATCGCACGCATTCTTAAAGATCGTCCATGAGGAACTCATCACCCCCCTCCCACCCCCCATCTAGCTCCCTTCCTTCTCTCATCTCAATACTCCCCTCCACCACGTACTGGTCCCGAAGCTCTGGTTGAAACCCACAGTTAAACCATCGGCTGAAGTGCGAGGGGCCGCTTGATCTCCTCTGCTACCACCAGTCTGGAACTCCATTCCTCCAGCCATCCGTGCAAGCAACTCCCTACCCTTGTTCAAGTAATAATAATTATTATTTTTATATAGCACTTTTGCCCACGCTCAAAGCACTGACCAGGAAAAAGCATTCAATATTATAGATTAAAAAATGTTACATGAAAAGAACAATGGCATGTATAAAAGATAAGAGCAGCATAGAGAACATTCAAGGGACGGAATATACGAGGTGGTAGAGCAAAGGAGAGAAATCAAGCCAGATTGTAAGACCTTTTTTTGAACAGATGAGTTTTAAATTGAGATTTGAAGGTGGAGTCCAGGCCCAAGATCCGACCCTTTTCACCTCTGCCCAGGACCGCCTGCCCCCTCTATATAAAAATGCCCGCCATTTCTGTAGTACACCTTGAGATTCGGTGAGATTTTAAGATGCAAGTCAATTCGTTACAGGTTGCAACCAGCGGATGATTGGTCCATGGGCCAGAGCGGGATAATTGGCACCCAAATTTAGTTGCAACCCATTTAAATATCACGGACGATAAGAGTGCGCAACTCAACCGACTAATTTTAAATGACTTGTGTACCGTCTCTACTTTTGCACTTTTACCATTGATTTGTATTTATTGTTGCAACTTGCAGAGCTGCCCTACTGGACATCTGAAAAAAAAAGCTTCATAGCTCATCGGATTCCTCCAGTCTAAATAAGACTGCTATTCTAACTAAAGATAGCATGGTTTATTGACAAATTGGGTTTTTTTGACCACAACGTAATTGGAACCACTCAAATCTACGTCGCCCTCAGGTGGCACTGCCAAGTCCACTGTATCCGGGCTCGTGGACTAGCTTTCTCAACAACTCCTCAGTGTAGGAGGGAGCCTTCATCTCCATTTGAAAATCAGCACTGCATCGCACGCAGCGTATTCAGCAAACAGTTAGGAGTGTTGCGCAACCGTGCTCGAGACTAACGGCAGTGGCAGCCAACGGAGCAAACGCACCCAAGAAGATTGGCCCGCTGCAGAGGTGTGTATGTATTTGAAACTTCATTCACAATGTACGTAGCCAATCGTGCAAAAAAAATCGGAGGTTTGGGGCTACTCGGAGGTGCGGGAGCCATGAAATCGGCTCTCGTTTGCAGATACTAGGCCGGACTGTTACATCACAAGCCTGCGACAAAGCGATGGCTCAAGGAAGCCTTTGGCCTTCAAAGCCGTAGACTGACCAAGAATGACAAGTGGGACACAAAGTACAAGACCACAAGAACCCCATCTTCAGGATTACAAAATTGCTGAGATAGACATTTAGCAATTCGCCGCGAGTATTGCGCAACTCAAATTTGGATTTGACCAGACGACAAGTGGTGAAGCACGAAAAGGTGGACCAGAGGAGCAAGGACCAGAGTTTTCAAGACAACTTAATTTCCATTACGCTTGTTCACACACAAACACTCACCGAGTGTCAAGATTCATTTTCAAGAGGGTCCTGCCAAGTTCACAGTAGGGGACGACATTGCCATGTGCCATCGTGGATAAAGACCCGGTTTATATGCACAAAAAAACTGCCTCTTTCGCAAGGACAACCTGTGCATAGAACAAGCCATTCGTAAGGACGTTCGGGCACACACGTGGCGCCATGCCCACACGAGTGGTGTCAACGCGAGCCAAGGCCACGGTGGCGACTGGCGCCGCTTACCCGGATCGTTGGCCTCGCGCTCCAGGGCGTGGATCTCGGCGCACTCGGCGAGCGAGTGCTCCAGGCAGAGCTGCAGGAAGCGCGCCTGCGTGCGGCTCACGTGCTTGAGCAGCGACAGCAGCGCCACGGTTTGCTCGCACTCGTTCCAGCCCTTGAACCAGGTCGCCAGGACGCCGACCTGGTCGCGAAACATCATCGCAGACGACGCCGGCGCCACCGCCGCCGCAGCAGCAGCAGCAGCAGCAGCAGCAGCAGCGACCGCTGCTCCCACCACCCCCGCTGCCGGCGCTACAGCAGCAGTAGCGGGAGCGCCGGCGCCCGCGCTCTGCCCCCACGCCGTCACCGCTCACGAACTTCGCCGGCCCGTCGTGGCGCGCTGGGTTGGTAGCGTTTGGCACGTTACAAACGCTTGCCAACCTGGAGACGGGAAAGGGCGAATCAATACACATTTACTTTACGTTCCAATATCACCCATAAAGTAGGCATCAGCGCACATAGCAGAACAGGGGCATACAGCAACAGGAATACAGCAAACAGCAACATCCTCCACAGTGAGCGATGAGGATGTGCAGACAAGACAAGATTTGAGCGATATGGTAACAGGCAGTGTGGCTTAGAGCTGTGTTCCAGAACTTTATTTATTTTTTGCAGTTTGTCATTTTCCACCAACTTTAGCGAGATGTTGCCGTCGGCGTCACGTCAAGGAGACGAAGAACCCCATTCGGAACGGTCGGAGAGAAAGTCTTTATTGGTTAACCACTCGCGGAAGTGGATATCATGATAAAGAGCTACCGCCCGAGGTCTCTTCAAGACAACCCTTGAGTCGACATGGTATTGAGCGGCACTTTCACACCTACCCTGGTACAAGAGCGCACTATGATAAAAGCCGATATTTTTAGATCTGGAATTTTAGTCAAAAATAAAGCGCAGGACCAACTTCATTGCAATATTCTTTTTTTTATGTCGTCATTGGTGACTGGGGTGAAAACATCCGATCCGTAGACATGAGAAATCCTACTGGACAACTCATCGGATTTCTACAGTGTAAAATATTTTGATTCTGAGAACCTCGTTTAACACAGGCAGTTGTAGCAAGCTAGATGCGAACCTAGGGTTTTGACCGGCCTATGCATCTGGTTTCTTAGAATCGGTCTAGTGAACGCGTGAAGCAGCTTTTCCTGAATGCAAATCAACGTCGTTAAAATGCATCCAGTTTAATTGAAAAGACAATTTAAAAAATGTACCATCAGAATTTAACTATCGTAGGTGTCTTTATTAATCTTTTATTCATTGTATACGTTCACTGATGGCACAACTTTATGCGAAGCAGAATGCAAAAGCTTGAATGTGGAGTGTCATAATCTGCATGCATGAATAAACATTACATTTGCACACAAACTAGCACCATTCGACATTACAAGGATGCGGAGGACAGTGATGTTAGGCGAGCGCCTACTAAGGAGAGTGCACACAGGGCCAGTGGCACGGCTAGCGCGACACATGCCCAGCGCTGCCGTTGACGATGCACCAGGGTTACTCATTTAAGGCCGAAGACTTTGTTGAGACCCAGCACAGGTTAAAGATACCACCTGCCACGGATGTTGTGCATCGTTGCCAGGAATTGAACCCAGGCCACTGGAGCAATGCCTTAACTAGGCTTACCCCCGCCACAGCACCCCACATGTCACACGCTTGTTGGACGGAGGGCCCCTCCACACAATGTCGTGGGATTTATTAAACCATACTTCACCACGCTGGGCTGGTGAGTTGAGGTTGAAGGTGGGGAGTATAAACGTGGAGGGGGAGGTATAGTACATTACAACAATGGTTTTTGCTACACTGCCTTGAATTGCCCCACCAAGTAGCCCAACAAGCAGCCTATGGAAACCTGTTGGTGGACTGTGGTGGCCATCTCCCCATCTCATCCAGGTTCAACCCCCCCTCCTTGGCTTCTGAGATATATGATTAGAGCATTTGCATTTTTCCCCACTTCATTAAGGAAATAAATATATTTCCACACATGTACGGATCAAGATGGGTCTTAATACACGTGGGGGAGGGGGGGGATGTGAACTTTCCAGCACATAACTTTGTAAGTGTACCTTATAAAACCAAGCAGTCCCATAAGTTGTATACCTGCACACTTGTGGACACTTCTATCAGACAACCTCTATAGGAGGTCATCACGCCGACATGGTCTCTTAAGAATTAATCTGTTCGAACTTTCCCGTAACGCGACGTTGACTTGTACCGTCCAACAAAAAGACAAAGATCACCCCGTATAACCTTAACAGACTGTTGGGGCAAGTGCTGTTGGCGAGCGCCTATGAAGGCCGGCACAGCTCACGAGGGGGAGGGAAGCCAGCACCACACACAGACCGCCTTTGTCTCCCTTAGTGGCGATGTTTACACACCGTGCCAGGTACTCGAGGCAGAGTCGACCTAGGGGAGGCCCAGAACAGAGTCAGATAGTCACCGGTGTTCGCCGTGAGCGGGAAGCAAACTCCGGTCGCCGGGTTCGCATTGCAGCGCACCAAATGCTCCACTACCGCTCCCCATAACACACGAAGGAACCCACCACGTGCAAAGTTAACATTTGGTCACTTCTAAACTTCTCACGTGCCCTCGCGCGCACACACACGTGTCGTCGCCACGACATTTCTTATGGAACCCAATTATTTATTTTGCTGCACTCCCCGCATGCAACCTTTACTTATCGTATAAAAACAATGATAGCCACACAGATTTAAAATGCGCCCACTTGGCACACTGATCACTTGTCTTCTCACACCATCCATCCTTTCGCGCCACGCACGAGGGCAACTGCCCGAAACGTCGACCATTAACTACTTTTTTTATTGTAAGGGTCGCAGTTTTATTGACAAGTGTAAAAGGTGTTTTTGTCGTCCTCGTCGTTGTATCTTAGCGTGTTAAAACGTGGACGTCCCCGTAATAGACAGACCGTTGTACTCAACCTTCAAAAAAAGGAAACCCCACACCGAGACACTTTTTTTTAACACCACCTCTGCAAACTTTGCACACTCGCGTTAAACCACACACACACATGTAGCGTAACTTGTGTACAATCTCTCCCCTCTGCCCAAGGTTCACCACATTAAACCACACACACACGTAGCGTAACTTGTGTACAATCTCTCCTCTCTGCCCAAGGTTCACCACATTAAACCACACACACACACGTAGCGTAACTTGTGTACAATCTCTCCCCTCTGCCCAAGGTTCACCACATTAAACCACACACACACGTAGCGTAACTTGTGTACAATCTCTCCCCTCTGCCCAAGGTTCACCACATTAAACCACACACACACGTAGCGTAACTTGTGTACAATCTCTCCCCTCTGCCCAAGGTTCACCACATTAAACCACACACACACACACGTAGCATAACTTGTGTACAATCTCTCCCCTCTGCCCAAGGTTCACCACATTAAACCACACACACACACATGTAGCGTAACTTGTGTACAATCTCTCCCCTCTGCCCAAGGTTCACCACATTAAACCACACACACACACGTAGCGTAACTTGTGTACAATCTCTCCCCTCTGCCCAAGGTTCACCACATTAAACCACACACACGTAGCGTAACTTGTGTACAATCTCCCCCCAAGGTTCACCGCATTCCACACAACCCGCGAAACAGATACATTGCACAAATGACATAACAAAGAACACAACATCTCCCCCACACCCCTCTATAATCAATGCTGTTAGGGAACCCCGAGGTGGTGGTGGCGCAACACCACGCCCGGCCGTCTTCGTCTCCCCAAGATGTTGATGTTTACACACAAACAGCAGCCGCCATTCGCCACTAGTTAGCGGCGACGTCACCACGGCGGCTTGTGCCAGGCTAGGTGCACTTTAAGCGCCACGCGAAGTGTCGAACGCCCGCTGGCAGGTGGTCACGGGACAGACCCAGGTGCCATCGGGTTGACCGACTGAGATGGACTGGCCGATGCACCACCTGTGCCCCCCCACTACCGTGCCAGGAACTCAATCAAGGCCGAGTCGACCTGGGAAGGGGAGGGTTATTTAAAACAAAACAGCATGCACACTTCGTTACATGTCCAGTGAACAACCACGCAAACACCGCGAGGCGATCGTGCAACCGCGAAGCAAGGGTGGTGGTGGTGGGTGCTTTGGTGATGCGAGCACGCCACAGCCATCACCAAAAATACCGCGAGCCTCCGAACCAAACTCACCCGCTCGGATCGTCATCCGGTGATCTTTAACGCAACTTCAAAGATTTAAAAAGAAAGAAAGAAAAAAACGCAGACGCCCATCGATACACGCATAAGAATTGATCGCGCGTGGTAATGACGAATGGCTTATGTAGCGCTGCAGTAAGTGTGGTAGTAGTTAGTCGTGGTGGTGCCACAGCAGAAGCTTTGATAGAAATCCTGGAGGCTGCTGCTGCACGCGTGCGGAGAGGGGGACGGCACGGGCTCGCAGCACGTGGGGAGAGGGGACGGCACGGGCTCGCAACACGTGCGGAGAGGGGACGGCACGGGCTCTCAACACGTGCGGAGAGGGGGGACGGCACGGTCTCGCAACACGTGCGGCGAGGGGACGGCACGGGCTCGCAGCACGTGCGGAGAGGGGACGGCACGGGCTCGCAACACGTGGGGAGAGGGGACGGCACGGTCTCGCAACACGTGCGGAGAGGGAACGGCACGGGCTCGCAACACGTGCGGAGAGGGAACGGTACGGGTTCGCAACACGTGCGGAGAGGGGGGACGGCACGGGCTCGCAACACGTGCGGAGAGGGGGGACGGCACGGGCTCGCAACACGTGCGGAGCGGGGGGATGGCACGGGTTCGCAACACGTGCGGAGAGGGGGGACGGCACGGGCTCGCAACACGTGCGGAGAGGGGGGACGGCACGGGCTCGTAACACGTGCGGCGTCGAGACGGCAGCCAGAGAGACCGTAGCCTGGACGGGCGCGGCATGGTCGTTTTTGCCGTACGTGCAAATTGTCGTACGGGGGGGGGGGTGGGAGGTTTGTGCGTCTGCGCAAATGTCAGTGTCCGTCGTATCGTTGGCCAACAACAACAACAAAACCCGGCGAGCTTTATATATTCCGTCGTGGTGGCCAAGAGTCGCGCGCCGACGGACGCGAGACGATCATTAACTGGTACAGTAGTAGCCGTACCACCTCCATCTCGCCACAAATGAACGCGTCCCCTCCCCACACAACCAATCCCTTCTCTCTCAGAGAGAGCCGCTTCATCAAAGCTAATAAACCATTATCTCACGGCTGGGCACGGCCAGTTAACAGTTTCCCCTTTCGCGCGCAAACGCAGCGAGCTTCGGGTCAGCGGCCCAAAAAAATAAAAAAAGCGAACACAGCAAGCGACGACTCCCCAAACACCTTCGAATACCGGAGACCGAAGAAAGCAGGCCTCGGCCGCAGCCTTACGCCTTTCCTAAACGCTCGGCGGGCTCGGGCGCCGCGGAGAGCCGTCCAACCGGGGTGGCCCACGCCCACCCCGCCCAGTCGGAGAGAGAGGTGGGAGGCGGTGTGGCGATAATCTCACGTACGAGGTGGGCCGCGAGACCAACCTCCCGCCCGCCGCGACCCGGGATTGCGTGGTTACCTGCGAGGCGAGGAGAAAGACGGGAAGGGAGTAAGGCGTGGGGGGGGTCACGGATCCTCGCGTCTCTCTGCGCTCTGCTGACGCTCCGCCATCGTCGCGGGCGGCCGCGTCTGGGGTGGGGGAGGTCTCTTATATAGGGGGGGGGGCGCGCAGCGTGACGTCACTGACGATTGTATTTCGCAGTGCGCTTAGACAAAGGCGGCGAGAGTGACAGAGAGGGGGGGGGGATAGGAAATGGAGTTGGATTTGTTAGTGCGCTTAGGGCAAGGCGGCGGGGAGGAGTGAGAAAGCGAGATGGGAGGAGATTCCGTATATGGGGGGGGCGGATCGAAACGTCACCACAGGTTGTATTTGGTACTGAGCTTTGGCAATGAGGGGGGGGGGAGGCTGGGAAGGGTGGTGGGGGGAGGAGTTCAGTGGAAGGGTCAATGTGTGTGTATGGTATGTGTCAGTGCGTGTGTGTGTGTGGTCAGAGTTCCATCAGTTATAGCTACTAAGACACGCCAGGGATGCTGCGTTGGCTGGGTAATTGTAGCCCCCGCGAGCCCAGCCACCGCATGCCCAAGCAGCTTCTGTTTGGCCGGGTTGAGGGGGCGAAACGGGCGCGGCACGGGCTGGGGAGGAGATGGAGCTGATGTGGTATAGGAGGATGTGGGTCAGAGTGGACTCTCACATGAATGGTACCAGCGGGGTCAATCGGCCTCTGTAGAGGAGGCTCGTGAAGGACGCTGCCACTGGGCGGTTGGAGGCAGTCGCCCTCTAACAACAACGGAGGGCAGAGAAGCGATGCTCACAACAACGGGCGGAGCACAGGGCGGATAAAACGCAGCAAGTTGCTACAGTGGGGAGCACAGGTGGTGCAGCTGCCCATCATCTCGGTCAGTTAATCCGTGGCACCTGGGTCTGTTCTGTGACCTGCCAGCGAGCTTTCGACACTTCACGTGGCCTCAAAGTGCACCGCGCCTGGCACAAGCGCTCTGGTGGCGTCACCGCCACTTAGTGACAATTGTCGGCTGCTGTTGTTATGTCAGCGTGCCATTGTGTGGCTAGCGCAATGCGTTATGTCAGCGTGCCATTGTGTGGCTAGCGCATTGCGTTACGAGTTCGATTCCCGCTCACGGTCGACTCACCCTCAAATAAGTAGCCAGTATAGGGGAGACAAAGGCGGCCGGGCCTTGTGCTGGCCAACCAACCCCTCCTGTGCCGTTCCGGCCTTCACGGATGCTACTCCCAAACGGCACTTTTCCCAACAGCCTTGTAAAGGTATATTAACGTTACTGGGTGTCCATTTAGCAGTGCAAAATACTCAGACGCTCTTCCTAAATGCAATAGTTGTTTTTCTTTTGTAAAAATGTGTAGGAGTTACGTTGTCAGCAGAGGGCAGTGCAGAAAAAAAGAGCTATTGTTGTCCTGTACTATGCCCCTGCGTCTATGCCCCCCCTTCACCAACGCGCACTGACAAGCGACAAGTTCGCTCAAATAAATCCCCGGGAGGCTCTCATCCAGCAGTGAATTGACAACGGAGCAAACATACTAACAACTATGTTTTATTTTTTATCAGGTAAGGCCCACTGAGTTATACAGCTCTTTTCCAGAAGCGACCTGGCCACAAATGATAGCTCAACGAAATGGCTTATAATCGTGTGGAAATTTACAGGAGCCAAATACTCTAAGCTCGTGATGTTGATTCTAAATGTGGAGGGAAAACCGGATGACCCGGAGAAAAATCCACACGACCCCGGAGAGAGAGACACGCAGACTCCAAATATACAGCAGGAGGCATCAGGGTCGGGATCTAACCTGCGACCTCGTGAATACCAAGCGAGGTAGTTAACATCTCGCCACCAACACTGCATGTCTTGCTGTAGGTTTTTTTTTTAAAGAATTGCCCATGTAACATTGTCCTCGCCGTGGTCAAGACTATCCTCATCAGTGGCACCATCGTCAACCACCATCATAATCAGCGATCTCCCACTCTCTTGCCTCTACGTCTCAACCCAGCGAGAAGGTGACACAGTCCAACCCTTAAGGCCTACTATACACAAGGAGACAGAACTTCATCCATCCAGAGCGTCATGATATGGGCTCCGCGGTAGCGAGATGTAAACTACCTCGCCTGGTATACAAGAGGTAGTGGGTTGATACAGACCGTGACGCCTGCTGTACATTTGGGATCTGCGTGTTCTCTCTTTCTGTGGTCGCGTGGATTTTTCTCCGGGTCCCGCGGTTTATCTCTCCAAATTTAAAAACGTGCGTTTGGAGTATTTGGCTGCTATACATTTCCACACGAATATAAGCCAACTTCGTTGAGCCGTCATTTGTTGCCAGTTCAGCTTCCCAAAAAGAGTTGTAAAGCTCAAGTGGGCCTTAGCTGGTAAAATAAAAGAAAGTTTAGTTTAAATTTGTTTTTAAACCGAGCGGTAGCGCCGTGGTTAGTGCACCACGCTTGAATACCGGCATTCCGTGTTGAGTTGTTGTTGTTGTTTGAGCACCAGCTGCAGCAGCACCACCGAATCACCTGGTTAATAACATCGTTCGGGCTCCTGGTAGAAAGCATCGGATAGGCAGGTGTGGCGGCGCCCTCTGACGGACACACTGCGTATTGCAAGCAGCGCAAACGAAGCCCACCAGCGTTCATCCAAAGTGCGTGACGATGTTACCGCTTGAGCGGCTGCGTACGGCGGTTTTTCTTTTTTGTTTTCTTGAGCGTGGCGGCGATAAGTTCAGGAGCTCGATGCCCAATGTCGAGGTCCTGCTGCTGCTGCTGCTGCCACGACAGAGACAGAGTTCGTGTCCGTGTGGCTGCTGTTCCTCCTCCTCCTCCGTTGAAGGAGAGCGCAGGCCGCAGTGGGTTTACTGTTTGGGCTATAGCTTGTGTTGCATGGTCACCTTCCTGCTGCAGCTTGTCTTCGATGTAACGCTATTTATCTCCGTGAGTCTCTATGCAAATCTACGGGTCTCTATTGGTCAACGATATGGTCCCATAGTTTCGCTTACACGGGCCACGATCTCACCCCTGTGGCTTGCGTCTGTACTGAGTTTTAATTCGTGAAGGAGCTGGGGTGCAGCGTCGGCCTGTCGAAGACGTTCCGATGCTGCTGATGGTTACACCACCGGTGTCTTCGATGAGGAGGAATGTCAAAGCCAGGGCGATTCATTTTATGAACCGATTCATGACTGTTGAGAGTCACACGCAGTCGGGCTTTCGCGACCAATATTATCAATAATAGAGGTTTGGGGGGGGGGGTGAGATCGCGTAAATATAAATGTGTCGTTATAACCCGTCACCACCCAACACATGCAAATGTTGTGGATTTACTGTCCAACACGCAGCCGGTGTGTGCCTGTACTCGTGACGAATTGGCACGTTCTGTTCACGCGACACACCTTACTAATTGGCTGTGGCGGGTGGTGGTGGTGACCGGTTTAACGACACACGCATATTTACGCGATCTAACCAAAAAAGCCTCTGTTGTGAATAATTGAGATGTTCCTGACCCCAGAGTTAAAGCGGTTTAACCTCCACGCCGTAATTTACGTGCATGGGGGGGGTCCCAAGTTCGATTCATGTGGTTTTGTTATTTATTTGAGTTTAAAGCAAAAGACTCGTGCCAACGTTCAGCTCTTTAGCCCTTCGAGAACGCCGTTTTTAAGCGACGTCGCTCAACATCGAGATTATTTTCAGTTTTTTAACAAAAGAGTGAGAGAACTCGCAAGGCCAGGATAGCATCAGTCTGCCAGGCGCACATTGCTTTTAAATGTAGTATTACTACTACTACTACTACCTATTGTCATCATTAGTTAGCAATTGTTGATGCTGATGATTCATCCAGGAGGTGATAGAGAATTATTCTGTTTTATTTAGTAGTTAATGACTGCTGATATTCATGATAGGGTGATTCATGCACTGTTGCCCAGTATTCTCTATGAACTGGTGGTGTGACTATTATTATTTGTATTCAGGGTGGCCCAAATGTCAGAAGACTTAGGGTTATTGTATTTATTTTAACAAATCAAATAGGGCTATTAAATATATTTTAATAAACGTTTAAATCGACTCACATTAACATTAATGAATTAATTATCTTTTGAGATGAATTTAGGACTTCTTTTAAGAGTACGAGTGTAATCTTTGAAAATTTATATCAAACGAGTCCCTATGAGCAACACAACTCGACACTATAGTTGAATTCGGATCGGATCATCTCCACGACCGTTGGCAAAGTGTCCAACATTTGAGACAGAATTACAAACATACTGCTTTTTGTGTTTAGTTTGTTGTCCTTCCCCGGCACCTCCGATTTGCACGGTTGGCTACGTACTGTGCGAAAGAAGTTCAAATTACAACAATACAAAGCGATAACACTCGCATCTATATCGAGCCCGTAACCGTAGCGAATCGTCTTCTAGCCGAGGAGACACCCCGCCAATGGAAGCTTGTCCGCTGTGCGTTAACGCGTTTTACCCAAAGCTCTCGACCCATATGGTTCACCCCGTATTCTTGTCCAGGGAAATTGGGTTTTCAGGTCCATACGGCGTACAGCCGTTTCAATACGGGCACAAAAAATGTGACGATTTGTTTGCGTTTCTCCCTTGTGATGGGGCTTTGTAGAAATAACGTTGAGATTCATAAGGACACGGGGTGGCCTATAAGATCTTAATTGGCCTGTAATAAGGTAGGCACTGATAAGGGGTTGACAGGTATGTTTACCTGTGTTGGAAAACGCAACGCACCAAGACAAAAAAACATACAGAAAGCGACATTCGGGTCCAAAGTCATCATCACTTTTTTGTGAAATCAGCAACAAACAACAACAACAACAACGTAGACAACAACGGGACAAAAACAACAAACACACAAACGCACAGACCACGACGGATGTGGCAAACAGCTTCCCCCGGATGCTGCACCTTTTAAGACATCAAATATTCATCCCAATCCGCGGAACGCCGCCCGAGCGCTTCCGCATTGTCGCCCCCACCGCCTCGAGTCTCCCCGGAGAGACGGAGGACGGGGAGAGACAGGGGACTGGAGACGGGAAGAGACAGGGGATGTGGAGAGACAAGGGGACGGAGGACGAGGAGAGAGAGAGAGAGAAGGGAGACGGG